CCCTCACTAGGTAAAGCCATAGTCACAAACAGCCTCAAAGCCTCAGAGGCTTGCAGTGTCAGTAGCAACAAGTCTTGCTCCCGTGGCTGGGGCGAGCGGGGCTCAGCTCTGTGCATCTTCTCCGTCTGGATTGGCTGAAGGAACAGCTCTTATTCCAGAATGTGTCTTTTTACGCAAAGGGAAAGGTCAAGAAAGTAGAATTCCATGTGATGGCTTTTCTGCAGCTTCTCACTTCCACTCTTTTTCAGGAGCAAAAGGAAAGCATGAGACCAATGGTGATAGCATGGAACTCAAATCGTATGGCTGTGGAGAGGAACTTATAACGATTTATTGGAGAGAGTGGAAAAATAATTAGAAAAGTGATATAATCTACTGTCAGTGTCGCGTGTCAATACTGTCTTCCATGGAGAATGGGAGAGTACAGATAAGTCCTGAAAAGACAGAGCAAATGCATGTCAGAAGTCAAACACTCAGTTAACAGTCACAGGCTGGAGTTGTCATTAGTACTGACCTCTCTGGCTTTTGCCATTGAATTGGCCCAGAAGGATAGGATGGCTGTTTAAGTAAAACTAACTTCAAAAGGGAACATGAGCTTTGCAGCTTAGATAGAAGTACTGGTATGATATGTGACGATAAGAATGCAAAGAGTGAACGGTGGTAATTAAAAATATATTGTCATAAAGCTCTGAAAGTGTTCCTGAAGTAATGGCTTAGGAGAATTTAAAGACACATGTTGTCATTCTTAAAGCAACTACCCAAGTAATAACACAAGGATAACCCCAAGATTAATTGCATTACAGTAAATGGGCTTCACACCCTGATGAAATGCCAGCATATTCAGACAGAATAAAAGAGCAAGATCCAACTGTATGTCTCCAAGAAACACTTCTTTTAGTTAGTTTTCATTTCATGTTATTTTGTATGAGCTTCAGGTGCACAGCTAGTATTTAGACCAGCAGTTCTCAACCTGTGGGTCGCGACCCCTTTGGCGGTCGAACGACCCTTTCACAGGGGTCGCCTAAGACCATCCTGCATATCAGATATTTACACGACGACTCATCACAGTAGCAACATGACAGTTATGAAATAGCAACGAAAATAATTTTATGGTTGGCTCACAACATGAGGAACTCTATTTAAAGGGCCAGAAGGTTGAGAACCACTGAGTTAGACAATCATATACTTTGTAAAGTGTTACCTCTGATATTCCCAGTGCCCCCTTGCCACCGTACATAGTTACTATAATATTATTGACCCTATTCCCTATGCTGGACTTTCCATCCCCGTGGCTATATTGTAGCTACTGATTTGTCCTTAATCCCTTCACCTCTTTCCCCCAGTCCCCAAAGCCCCTCCCTCTGGAAACCATCGGTCCGCTCTCTGTATCTGCGAGTCTGTCAAGTAACACACTTTAAACATGTTAACAAACAGGTCGGGTGTAAAAGAATAAAAATAATAAGCGAAAGAAAGCTGGTGTGGCTCTGAACATCAGAACAAAGCAGACTTCAGGAGGACTAATGTTGCTAGAGATTCAGAGGGTGCATTTTATAATGAGAAAAGGGTCACTTCTTTAAGAAGACATAAGACTACTAAATGTTTCTGCACCTAATATCAAAGCTCCCAAATACAAGGCAAAACCAAAGAGAACTAGAAACAATTTTACTTCGCTGATAGAGATTTTGACACTCCTTTCTCAGTAGTAGATCAATTGAAAAATCGGTCCAGTTCCAGCTGATTTGAACAACACTAACCATCTACTTAAAGCTAATTAACTTTTATAGAAAATTGCTCCCCACAAGAGGTTACAACTTCTAACATGCCCATGAATTATTCAAGAAGGTGGACAATATTCTCAGTCATAAAAAAAGTTTCAATAAATAGCAAAGGACTCAAATTAAAGAGCATGTTCCCTAACCATAATAGAGTTACATTATAGATGAATAAAATAATACACTTTTTAAAACCCTCAAATATTTGGAAGTGAAAAAACACACTAAATAATCCATGGAGTAGAGAAGAAATCTCAAAGGATATTTTATGACAGAAATCATAAAGGCACAATATTCACATTTGTGACATGCAGCTAAAGCAGTCTTTACAAGGAAATTTTATAAGTTTAAATATATATATTAGAAAATAAGAAAGGTGTCAAATTAAGTACTTCTTTCATTTTAAGAAACTATAAAAATAATAAATTAAACCCTGGGAATATAACACAAAGGAGATAAGAAGAGCAGAAATCAATAAAATGGAAAATTTAAATAGCTTTTATGAAGAATCAAATAATAATACTGTCATAGACAAACTCTCTCATGAAATAGGAGAAGTGGGAACACTTCCACCAACTCATATCATGAGAACACTTAGGTACTATATTGCAGTACAGCACATATATCATAGCACATATATATGATATGTACTATATGTAACTATTAAAAATGCTATAAATATAATTATAATACCACTATCATCCGTGTTAAAATATCATCCTATGAAGTATAGTTTATATTGTGTTCTTACTTTTGTGTATAATTGTGAGCGAGCACAGTTCCTCCCCTGGGTCACTTCCAGTAGGTCCCTAAACAAGGATCGCAGCTGCGGAAGAGCAGGGGCGGCCCCTAAGTGGCTGTAACTGTTCCTTAAAGACCTTCCCCTTGCCTTAGCATGTTTCCTGAGTGACGGGAAGTTTGAGTCTGGAAGCTGCGAATCTCGCTGACACTAAAAGGCTCTCCCATTAGCAGCTTCCGTGTTGCATTAATAATAAGAAAGGAATGAAGAGACCAGCCTCTGCTGCTCCGTCTCCCAGGAGGGGAGGCCCCAGCCTCCTGCTCATCCCCAAGGCCCACTCTAATGGTCTTGCCTGTGTGAGAGGAACAGAGAGGATGCTAAGTGCTGTTTGTTTTCTCAGAGTTCAAAATCCCTTCTTGCTTGCGGGGGAACTCCTGTTCTTTTTTAAGACTTCCTAGTTGTCATGAATACTTTTTTGATTGAAGTTAATCTGTCATAATTCATACCTTTATTAATTAAGTAGAGGCCCAGTGCGCGAAATTCGTGCACTTGGGAGGGTTCCCTCAGCCTGGCCTACGCCCTCTCGCAGTCTGGGAGCCCTCAGAGGATGTCCAACTGTCAGACATCCCTAGTAATGCCGCAGAGGCGGAAGAGGCTCCCGCCACCGCCACTGCGCTCGCCAGCTGTGAGCCCGACTTGTGGCTGAGCGGCACTCCCTCTATGGGAGCGCACTGACCACTGGGGAGCAGCTCCTGCATTGAGCATCTGCCCCCTGGTGGCCAGTGTGCATCATAGCGACCAGTTGTTCCACCATTTGGTTGATTTGCATATTAGCCTTTTATTATATAGGATGTAAGTGCCAATTATCAAGTACAGGGAGAAATTGCTTTAGAAAAAATAAATCCACCTTTCCTGGAAAAACTGTAAAACAGAGTCCGCTCAGAGATGTCTCCTGTCTTTTGGGGGAAAAATGTAATCACTTCTCCGCACAGCAGAAAATTAAAGAAAATCACGAATAAAGGCCTTTGCTTTTGCAAATGTTAAAAACCCTTGTTGCCGAAACCGGTGTGGCTCAGTGGATAGAGCGTCGGCCTGCGGACTGAAGGGTCCCAGGTTCGATTCCGGTCAAGGGCATGTACCTGGGTTGCGGGCACATCCCCAGTAGGAGATGTGCAGGAGGCAGCTGATCGATGTTTCTCTCTCATCGATGTTTCTAACTCTCTATCTCTCTCTTTCCTCTCTGTAAAAAATCAATAAAATATATTTTAAAAAAAAAACAACCCTGTTAATAGACAAAGAAGAAACGATGAGAAAATATCTTATTCAAACGAGATGAGTAAGGCTGGATTTGTTAGGTTCAGGGTGCATATTAATGAATTATGTCTTTGTTAAAATTGTGTCTTTTGGGGGTTCATAAAGATAGGAGCCCACGCCATACTTAACAGCTTGTGTTCCTTTTCTACTGAAAATGCATGACCGGTAGCAGAAGTGCACTTTTAAGATCTTTCTAGTGTAAACATCTGTGACCTGTGCAAGGAGTAAGAGGATCTATGCAGTAGTTAGGTGGTTGCAATTTTTCATCCACAAGCAAAACCATTTTTACTTTCAATTATTTTTTAATTGGGTAAACAATAATCCGTCATCTCAAAAGTGTTGCTCAGATTTTCATTATTTGGACTGAAAATGCTAGAAAGTTTTCCTGGATTTATACTACTGTGCCCTGATATTGCATGGTTAATTTTTATAATTAGGCTATAAATTACATACTTTTGTACTTTTAATTTATGAGGAAGAAAGAACAATGTCAATAATCATCATCAATGACAATATATATTTTTAAATTGAAATGTATGTTCATAACCCTCAGAGTAGGAATTACTATGATGGGCTCTGAACTATTTATGTAAGAATCAAGAAATTATTGTACAAACCAATTAAAAGCTGTTTTCTGGAAATTTATAATTAACTTTTTTTTTTTCTTGTAAGTATTTAACATCATAAAGGAAGACAAAGAAGATACATCTAATAAGTCAAGGCTGCCCATTCAGGTTCTTAAAAAAATGTATAAAAGCCTGTGGATGAAAAAGAAATCTACAACTTAGAACTGAGACAATGTTGGGTATCTATTTACAGTCTGGTGGACACTAGATTTTTCCTCTAAGCAAGGAAAAAGATCTAAATCCCTTTTCGTTAAATCACTCTTTCATGTGGTGTATTTATGAGCCAAAGAATTTTCATAAATCCAGTAGACCCTGTTAGTTGTTCTATGTTGCTTGTAAAAAGCTGAAATGTCCGCTACATGCCAATGGGGGGCATGTTATTGTTAGATTGTTCTTAAATTTAGGGAAGAATGGAGCTGTGTACGCCATTCGTATGAAGCCCTGATAGCAAATAGGTCCATTGGGAAAGCAGCAGCTTTCTGATAGCCTCAGAGCTGTTGGTGTTCTGCACACTTGTCTGAATTAGTTTGTTCCCTTCTCTCTCTCCTGCAGTCCACGAAGGCTCGGGAGAGACCAGCCAGAAGGAGACGTCCACCTGTGACATTTGCCAGTTCGGTGCGGAATGTGACGAAGACGCTGAGGACGTCTGGTAATGCGCTCTCACTGATTCTTTTAAACAAAATCATGAAAGTTGATTTCCTTGTACTCCTTCCGGTATTTCCTGAAGAAGACAGGGTTGGCATTTCTTTTTTTCTTTTCTAGTTCCTAAGGTGAGGCGGGGGGAATATGAGGGCTATTGTAATGGCAGGAATTTCTGAAACTGAATTAAGAGTTGGGCTGGGCCAGCTGCCCTGCTTCGTTTGATAGGGTATAAAAAGATATCACAGACTCCCCAGGACTGTCAGGGTTAAGAGATGGAGAGAACAATCACATTTACCAGAACATCTCTCAAGAAGCGTGGTCAGGAGACAGTGGGCATCTGCTAATCCGCTTTGAATGGTGGGTCCGAGTGACCTTGGAGCTTTTACTGAAGTGTCTGCCTATGTGTGCCGGTAGCTGAACTGGGAAGATGGGAAAGCAAAGAATGACCTGAGCCGCCCTCTAGGATCAACTTCCCCTTCACTCAGCAGTACGCATCTTCTCCTGTAAAGATATGCTGAAGCAATAATGAATATTATTTACTTTGAATGGGTCCCAAAGTGCTAGCCTAGGGCATGAACATGTGTTTGGTTCTACCTGATCATACCCAGAGTAGTGACCAACCTAGAAGCCAGAGGAGGCCTTTGTGCTGTGATAGTGGAATGAGGCAGTCTCTCCTCTCTCTCTCTCTCTCTCTCTCTCTGTCTCTCTCTCTCTGCTCTCCCCTCTTCCTCCTCCCTTTCTCCCTCACAGGAAAACAGCCAAGTGTCCTTTGTTTTCTTCAAAATGCACCCATGCTTGTCTAGAGCTCTTAGCACTCATTTTGATCAAAGTGGCTGAGTAAATCTTACATGCTCTCACCAACAAAAGGAGTGGTGATTCTGTGACTGGGCGGTGGTATTAGCTAACATGATGGTGGTAATCCTATCTATATATATAAAAGCCTAAGCTACCATTCAACCATTCGACTGGTAGCTATGACACACACTGACCACCAGGGGGCAGATGCTCAATGCACAGGCATGGATACATGGAAAAGACTGATGAATCTCAGAAGGTAGGGGGAAGTGGGGAGGGCAGGAAGAAATTAACCAAAGAACTTATATGAATATTAGAGGCGTGGTACACAGATTCGTGCACCAGTGGGGTCCCTCAGCCTGGCCTGCTGGGATTGGGCCGAAACCAGCAATCCGACATCCCCCGAGGGGTCCCATTATTGCTTCAGCATATCCTGCAAGAGGGCACAGGCCAGGCCGAGGGACCTCACCGCTGCATGAATCCATGCACCAGGCCTCTATTTGCAGTATAGAAGTGTAACAAATCACCCTGTTGTACATCTTAAACCTATACAATATTATATATCAACTAAATCTCAATTTTTAAAGAGTAATCATTTTGATCAAATTTTGTGGATGGAGGGGATAATTTAAGGGACAAGAAGAGGAAATGAAGGCAACATAATTTTGGCAAGAGTGAAACAGTCTGCACTTAAAATCTTTAAAAATATGTTTGAGTGCAGATGAAGTTGAGGATTCCAACGGAGCACAGTGGGGCTCTTGGGGTAAATTAGTGGTTGCATATTTCAGAAAAGTGGGACTTAGAATTTTACTTACGTCTCCCCAAATGCTTTAGGGCTCTGTATGTTAAGACACACTTCCAGGAAATATGCTTTTTAAAGATCTCATATTTAATGTTTGCTTATAACTGCATCTGTAGTTCAACATTATTTTTAAAGCTGTTAGAAATCTTGCTATCAATGCTTTACTTTTTAAAAATTTACATGGGTCCCTAATTTTTTCTTAAGAACTTCCATTCCCCTGGTTTCTCATCTCCCTAGTGATTATCTTGGTGACATAGTCCCCTTTACAAGTGCAAAAACTTAAGAGGTGAGTTGAGCGAGCAGGTGAAGATTACAGACTGCTTACTTCAAGCTGCTCACTCGTATGCCTGTTTCTCTCAGTTATCTTCAACATAATCCTGGGAGTGTATTCCTTTATGATCTCGCTCTGTAGAGAGGGCTCTGAGCTTTTCAGTGTTAAGTGGCAGGGCCAAGATGAAGCTCTGAGCTGCAAGTAACCAGAGGGCGTTAGCCTAACAGCTCAAGCAAAGATGCAATTAAAACCTCATTGTTCCCTGTCCTGTCTGCAATCATGAGATGGCCAGATGGCAGGACCAGGACCCACAGGGTGAGAGCTGTGTTGGGGGGCAGTGCCTGCAGCCACCGTGGGGAAATGTCAGGCAAGTGGTGTCACTCCTGGTGTCCCAGCAAAAGACGGGGCCCATGGTCTGGAGGCAGACAGTGCAGGGAGGTATGGGCAAGGCCCGGGGCGCCTGGACTTAGAAAAAAAAAAACTCAGTTCAAAACCACGGAGAAGGGGAAGGCAGACCCTCAGTCCGTGAGGAGTGGGTCACCAATCAGGAAAGGCAACCGGGCAGATGAGGGGAGTCTGGGGAGACACCCGCTGTAGGAGCTGCTGTAGGAAACAAGCCCGGGACCAGGGGTGGGACCAGCACCTGGACCTCAGAAATCAGTGCCAAGGTCAGGGGTCAGCGTGCTGAGGGATGCTGAGTCAGTTAGCTCCTGGCTAAGGGCATCTCTACACCCCCAGCCTCCAGACAGGACTGGCTCCGAAGTGGGGCCTAAGGCCCAGCCTCCCCAGGGGCTCAGTGGCAGAGCTGGGCGGGCTGGGGGGCGGCAGGGCAGGGGCCAAGCAGGGCATGTACTCCCCAGCAGGAGTGAAGAGCTGTTGGCGGGTAGTAAAAGGTACTGACGGGTGCTGCAGTGATAAGCGTATTGTTTTCCATCGGCATAAATGCCTCTGTATGTTAACGCATTATACTGAGGCTGGCCATGCAGGGTAGATGGAGAGAGCCAAAGGACACAGAAAGAAAGCAGTCAGTGGAATTAAACAGGCGTGGGATAAGCGGGGCTACAGAGAAAGCCAGGAAGCGGTAGGGGAGTGGCCTGACCCGCATCCCGCAGGCCGATTCGGGGGCTCTGAGGTGCCATTGATGTGGGTGAAGCCACGGCGGTTCCCCAGCGCGCAAAGCCCCACACATGCCGTATGGCCGCCGGGAGGGCAGCTCTGTGCTCTGTGCCATCTTCTGCGCTGACACGAACTCAGCCGCAGGTGTATGCCACACAGCTCCTCAGCCTGCATCACCAGGTCATAGCAAGGCGTGAAGGAATGCTACGGAGAAATAAGGTTATTATTGCATCTGCAGTATTGGAACCCCGGCCCAAGAAATGAACATTTTAGTACGTCTCGCCGCAGGACTAAGGCTGGTTAGGCAAAGGTGTGCACGTCCTTTCCAGGTGGTGATGAGTCTTGGTTAGAGTTAGAATCCAGCACAGTCCCCTGACCTTGTTCCCATAGGCATCTAGCTGAGAAGCAAGTCTCACTGGACGTGGGGAAGAAAAAATAAATGAGAAGGGAGAGTGTTAAGGAGAGTAGAGGAAAAGGAGAAGAAATACTAATTAGAGGGTGGCATTGGTAAACCGTGTCCTGATGTTTTACTTACACTTTAATACCTTTATTTGGGGAAAATGTGATTTATTAACTCATGTAAGTCTCTCATGTAGCATTGACTTCAAAATCGTTGGAGCACCTTGCAAAGGGAAGGGGTATGTGGCTTGTTTGTGGGGCCGGGGTTGAGAAGAAATGAGCCTGGCCAGTGTGGTTCAGTGGTTGAGCGCTGACCTATGACCCAGGAGGTCACAGTTCGATGCCTGGTCAGGGCACATGCCCGGGTTGCAGGCTCAATCCCCAGGAGAGGGCATGCAGGAGGCAGCTGATCAGTGATTCCCATCATCGATGTTTCTATCTGTCTCTCCCTCTCATTTCCTCTCTCTGAAATCAATAAAAAACATTTTAAAAAGAAGAAATGAAAAGAAAACCTTAAAGGTCCTTTTTCTCTATATCTAGACTGAAAAGTCAAAACGGATACATTTGCACATCAAAAAGACTCTCAAATACATCCTGTCAGAGTAGGTTATAAAGAAAAGGCGTGGCAGGTAGATAAGCCGGACATGGTCGCCGCAGAGTAAGGCAGCCCCACCGGATAGCACTGAGAGGACCCCCTTATGGTCTCAACACACATCGCCGATACTTGGTTGGTTTTAGAAACCGCTTTGTGTTCCCTTAATTATCTTCCCTCATAAATTATGTCTGGAAGTCCAAAGTAGGTCTGCAGGAACCCTTGGCTCTCAGAACTACCTAAGAAGTACTAGTAATTAGCCTGGAACTTTCCGTCGGTCCCGTCCATCAGAAGTAGTTCAGCGCCCAAGGGTTGATTCTTGATTTAATAAAAGATTAAAGTCGGTAGCTGGTTTGATCCGAGGGACGGCTGGGCATGAAGTTGCCCGCGTGCCTACCGAGTCCAGGGAGGGGCCCGGGTGTAGGCGCAGAGGCGGCGGGGGACGTGTGGCCTAAAGGGACGGCTTGGTGACGCTGTGTGTGCTTCTCGCGTGCGCAGTGGGGTCTTGCTTCCGTTTAACTCCGCTCTCCTGTTCTCAAATGCACTCGGGCTCCATTAGCAAAGTCACATCGGCTTAATGGCTATTAATTCCTCAGGCGGCCATTTATTTTCTCTTTGAAACATCAGCGATGTCTTCCCGTTTTCGTGCATCATATCCTAGCTGGGCCGCGATGGTGAGAAAGGAGAAAACAAAGTCGTTGCAGTGAAAGGGCTCAGAGGGGAGAATGAATGGGCATCTATTTTCTTCTGTCTCATGGATGTTCCGGAACTGAAAGGGATGCGGGAGTTGGCGGTCTGTGCGCGAGTGTCTCTCACAAAGACCGTTTAGTCCGAAGCCTTTAACCTCATGCGCCTTTGATCCGTGAGGCTCCCTGTGGCTGGCAGAGCGTGTGGCTGGCAGGCTGCCCACCGTTAATGCAGGGGGGACCGGGGAGGGTCAGGAGCATTAGAGCCGGGCTGTGGCCGCGGACGACCCTGGGCCCTGGATTTCACATCCCTGTAAGCAAACAAGGCCTGAGGTCCCGGTCGGGA